AAAAGTGGAGGGGATGACCTTGGCATGGCCTAAGGTAGGATCCTTTTGACTCAGTTTCCCCATTGAGCGATTTCCTTTCTGAACAAGAAACTTCCCCACCTGGTTACTCCTGAGCCTGGCTTTGGATACTACATGACTGGCTGTCACATATGACTTATGCCTGGAATCAAGCAGAGCTAAGGGAATTTTTCACTCTGTTATGGTGTATGTCAGGTCAGCCTATCACCTTGAAGGGATTAATCTCGACACTGTTCTAAGTTTCGCCTCTTCCTTTTCATAGCAAATTTCTACAAGCAGGACTAATTAGCAGTAGAAATTTTCTAAGTCCAATGTTAAATCTAATAGATTGATACTGGTACATCTCAGAGTGACTATAATAGGATGCAAGTTTGAAAAATATTACAATTTTAATCTGTATTTATGGTCAAATTATAATATAGGGGTGACATCCTACTAAAGGGGGAATTAGATAAAGTAATAAGACAAAAATGTAAAGTAAAAATTTTCTGATTAAACAGAGTAGCAAGTTTTGAGAAAGCAACAGGATTAGACTGTTTTCTCTAAGAACCATATATATATGTATATGACTGGCTTCTAAATGTATGCAGCATGGAAGTTCAGGCTTTGATTATGTTTTAATAATAAGTTCTCCAAATTTGATTAAGAATTTTATATATAAAATTATATTTATTACAAAGAAAGTGAAATTATTTTCCCATTTTAAAAGTATTTGTCTGAGGGGCAGCTAGGTGGTGCAGTGAGTGGAGCTCTGGCCTTGGAGTCAGAAGGATCTGAGTTCAAATCTGGCCTCAGACACATCACTTACTAGCTGTGTGACCCTGGGCAAGTCACTTAACCCCATTGCCTAAGTGCCCCCCCCAAAAGTATTTGTCTGATAATTTTGAAAAGCAAAAGAGTTCATTTTAAAAGTTAGACCCTCATGATTTTTTTTTTTAAGATTTTTATATCAGGTACAGAGTTTAGGTGAAGAAAAATAACAGTTGGCATATTAAAAAAACAAAACCCTGAAATTGTTTAAAGTTTCAGAAGAATTATGGGTTCCTAATTAGATGTTCTTCTCATATCTCTATTTTTAATACAATTAGCTCTATATGCCTTGAGCTAGACTTCACCACATGAACTAGTTATTGGAGAATCAAATTTAAGGGATTGTCCTAACTTTCATTAAGTTTTGTTACTAGCAAATTTTATCAGAGTTATCTGGGAACCTCTACAAGTGATTTGGAATCAGAGAAACAGAACCCTGTTCAGGGTTGCCCTAAGAGTGAGGCCTCTTCCAGAATGTCCAAGAGAAGCTATCTAGGGACCAGATGACCTCATGGGACATCTGGAACTCAAACTGTTCTGATCAAATGGACATTGGGAGGGGGTTTCTAGGATACAAGCAAGCTTGATGTCATTTAATAGTGACGATCACGATTGTAGTGCTTTGGCCTTTTGTTTCATGGTGTTTATGTCTACATTTTCTTGGTTACCTTGGTGACATGTAAATCTCCCTTCTCAAACAAAACTGGTCATTGTGAGCCCTCTAAGTAGTTGGATCTGTAACCTGACTTATGTAATTCTGGTTATGAATTTATGAAAAACTTTATAGATTTGGCTTATAGGTAAATGATCCATGGGGGGATTGGGCTGCCTACTCCCCCATAAGTCAAAAGGGGGAATTGAGGGGCTTCGGATAGCAAGTGGTTAATTGTGGGAATGGAGTGATCCACACTGACTCCATCTTGTGACTCAGTTCCCTTTCTGTATAATTATGGGCCTAGTCCAGCATCTGTCTTATTATGGGAATTATGAGAAAACTTTGTTGCATTGTTTGAACCCATCTCTGTGTGTCTGGGAAGCTGGACCACCTCTGTTTGCTGCTTAGAGACCCTTAACTAAGGACCTCGTTTGTGCTGACCAGAAACCCGGTCAGATCTGAGTATTGATGCAAGGAGTTTTCTCAAATTGAACATCTCAAGCAACCCACATGTCTTATCTGAAAACTGGCCCCATGTTCCTTGTTTGTTTACAGACACTTTGGAGGAGTGGGGCAGCCTTTTCTGATTTCAGAGAATTATCCCTGTTCACTCATCCGCTCCCAACTTGGAAAGTCCCTGATCATCCCTCCAATTAGAAATCAGATTACCTATTTTTGTATCCTGGTTAATTGTTTTCTTTTAATTAATCGGTATTATTTGATTGTTTTTAATGTAAAAAATCTGTCACCCCCCGTATTTGGGATTCAGCCTTAAGCTGAGGAGGTCTGGTCACAATTTGTTGGGCAATTGGCATGCACTCCTTAATCAATATGCTTGGAAGATTGAACCTTTGTTTCCTCAGTCATTTCATCTTTCACTCGCCACGTGGCAAAGCATTGATTCTTTGCTGATTGACCCTCAAGCTTCTCACAGTGGATATTACAAACCGTCTCTTTTTTCCCCAAACCCCAGCAGAGGACCCGGCTTGCTGCATGACTGAGAAAATCCGGTTTACCTATGGTGAGCTCAATCATCTTGCTAATTCCTCACCTTAGAATCCAGATATGGAAAAAGGAAGCAGTCCTTCTGCCCACCAACCTCCTGCCAGATATCTCTGGCATCGCAAAACCAACAGGGTGTGACCTTGATTCCATCCCTGTCATTTCCATTCGGGCCCTGCCTGATCACGTGTGGTCGTCTTTTCATCCACTGGTTCCTGCCCCTCAGACACGCCCAGCTTCCCCCCATCCTTATACAGCTCTCCTCAAGCTGCCCTCTGCCATCTCTTCTCCCATTTACACACACCTTTCCACTGCCTCTCCTCGCACTCTTCCCTAGGCCGTCAGCAGTTTGATTTCCAGCTTTCTTCAGCCGTCTTCTGTCGGGCTGCCAGGGGCCTTTCTGGGTCCATCTTTGGACGCTCGTCTCTTCTCCTTCCCCAACACAGCCAGTCAACCATCTAACCACTTCTTCTCAGGCTCCTCTCAGTAACGTTACCTGCCCCCATTTCTCATCTCATTGTGGACCATGCCCAGATGGAGGGATTCCTCCCCAGACTTTCTCCTGGGCTCCAGTCCTACTTAGCACTGCCCCCTCCCAACCTTGCCCCGCCTTCTGACTTCTCATTTTCTGCTGCTGTCTCTGCTTTCCTCCTTCCTTCAGGAAAAATTAACTTATTGCTGCTGATTAATAGTGGCAGCCCCTGGGGATTAAGAGAGAAATGCAAAGGACCAGCCAATGCCCGGGAAGCGTCTTCTGCACAGAGAAGTAGGTGCGAAGGCAGGACCGAGTGATTTAAGAGGCGGGGCTCACCCCTGGACAAAGGAGCAGAGCAGGATAGGTCTCCCCTAGAAGCTGGTGCTGGCGTGACGCAGAAAGGAGGAGGCTCCGCTTGGAGGTGGAGGGCCAGACTTGGGGACCAGCCAAGGACAATCTGATTTAGAGGATCTGTGAGGGGGAATGTGTGCAGTCAGTCAGTCAGTCACCTGGCACTCCATGATGGGCCCTGAGGAAACCTCCCTGGAGAGGGCATCCCTTGGACAATTCCTTGTGGTCTTAGGGTCAGTTTGAGTTTGTAGAGCACTTCCCAGTAGCCCTGGGAGGTAGGTGCTATTTTTATCCCATTTTACAGGTGAGGAGCCTGAGTGGTAAAGTCCTAAGGGGCGGCAGGCTTAGGGCAAGGATAGCCGATGGGGCAAAGAGGACAGGAAGGCGGGCAGGGACAGAAGGAAGGTTTGGGGGAAAGATCACGAGTTCTGCTTTGGACATACTGAGTTTCAGATGTCCACTGGACTTCCAGTTCAAGATATCAGAAAGGCAGTTAGAGAGATGATATTAGAGGTTAGCAGGGAGGTTGGGGTGGGACAGGCAGAAGTGAGAATCATCAGCACAGAGATGGTCGTGGAATCCGTGGTGAAGTAAGTAGTACAGAGGGAGAAGAGAAGAGAGGCCAGTGCCCAGGACAGAGTGGGAGCAGAGGAGCAGGAGGGGACCCATCATTAGCAGGCATGACCTGGAAAAAGATTCAGCAGAGGAAACTTAGGAGGAGCATTCAGAGAGGTAGGAGGAGAACCAGGGGAGAGCATTGTCACAGAATCATAGAGAGAAGGATAAGACAGTGATTGACAGGGCCAAAGGCTGCACCTGCCTTGCCTATCTAATTGCACAAAGTCTTCATGCCTGTCCACCTGGCCTGCTGGCTCTTCCGAGATGTTCCATCTCCCACCTCCAAGCCTTTGTCCACATTGTCCTGCAGGTTCAGATGCCAGGTCACACCCAAGGCCCTTTAGACCAGTCTCTTTAGTTCCGTGTTCTCTCCCCCTTTAAACACTTGGTGTGGCTTCTTTCAGGGTCCTTCTGACTCTTCCGGTTTCATTTTCCTTCCTTTCCAGGCTCGATGCTACAGCTGGCTCCTGCACTGGGAACTCCTGGGCCTCCCCCTCTTGTCTCCCTGCATCTGCTTCCTCTGCTCTGTGGTGACCTGCAGTAGTGCTGATTCTGGGGGGCCTCACACATCCCCGTGATCCAGCCTCCAGGCCATTGTTTCTCCCTAGTCTCCCTAGACTCCTGGGGGTCTCCAGGAGCCCCTGGTCCTCTCCTCTTCCTTCGTTCTGGGAGATCAACCCCCTCTATCTCTGTCCAAGCTTTCTGTGCCTTCCCCTCCCAGCCCTTTGGGGCCTCCCATCCCCTCAGACTGTTGTTGGACCTGATGCGGCTCTCTCTGCTGCCTTTGACCTTGTTGACTCCATCCTCCTCCTGGCCCCTCTCTCCTCCCTCCCCTTCCTTTGTCTCTGTGTCTGTCTGTCTCTTCCTTGCCCAAGGCTGACCTGGAGCCGGGGGTGCACAGTCTCTAAAAGTCTTAGGGTTGGCGCTGTAAAGCTCACGCCAGATTCTGGCAGCTTTCTTTGCCCCAGAATCACTCGGGACACACTTTCCATTTTTCTGCTTTGGTCATGAGGACTCAGGCCTCTCTTTCTCTGCCTCTCTGATGACCGGCCTGTGTTTCCCCATCTGAAGGTTTTCCACACGTACTCCAATGAAGATTACGACCGGAGAAATGATGACGTGGACCCTGTGGCGGCATCTGCAGAGTATGAGTTGGAGAAGCGAGTGGAGAAGCTGGACCTTTTCCCAGTGGAGCTGGATAAAGGTAGGAGCACCACTCGCGTTGTACTGATGTCCCATGGGTGGGAGTGGCCAGCCCCGAGGCCTCATTCCTCCAGGAGCTGAGACCGCTGAGGTGGCAGCAGAGCAGTGGGTGGGCTGGGGGGTTGGCACGGTCCCCCTCCGGGCTTCTGGGCAGGTTGGCAGGGCTGCCCATCTGGGATGTTCTTTTCTCTCCCCAGATGAGGATGGACTCGGCATCAGCATCATCGGCATGGGTGTAGGGGCTGATGCAGGACTGGAGAAGCTGGGCATCTTTGTTAAAACTGTGACAGACGGTGGGGCAGCCCAACTAGATGGTCGGTAAGCTGCCCTCTTCTAGATCTGTCTTCAGGGAGCTGAGGCCACGGAGGGCTTGGTCAGAGTCTGCACGTCTATCTGGATCAGGGCTGCCTTGTTGCTGGGGGCTCCCTGCAGTGGAGGAGGGCTGGCAAGGGGTGCCTCTGAGTGTGGTGTGTGTGTGAATACATATGAGTGTGCATGTATACACAGATGTGTATGTATGTGTGCAAGTGTGCTCGTGTGTGTATATACAAGTGAGCACATATAAATGTGTATGTGTGTGAACATGTGTGCATGCGTGTGAGTGTGCATGTGTCCATGTGAGCGTGCATGCAAGTGTGCATGTCTGTGCGAGTGTACATGTCAACAAGTATGCATGCAAGTGTGTACGAGTGTGTGTGTGTATGCGTGTGTGCAAAGCTGTGTTTTTCTCCGTTTTCCATGACTGCTTGGAGTCTTGATGGGCCAGTGATCTTGCTGGTGTGGAGAATCTCTCCAGAGATGCAGGTGGTGGCCAGGCCAGGCCCCAAAGGACCATGGAGGATTGGCCGTGCCTTCCTGGGCCCAGGCTCTTCCCTGAGCTGGGGCCCTCATTTCTGGGCTCAGACCTCTGGGGACATGCATTCTGTGCCTAGGACTTTGGGGCATCTTGACAGTCTGTCCCCAGGCCCCAGGCCCCAGACAGTTTCTAGCTCCAGCCTTTGAAGAGTGACTTGGGCACCACCTTCCTGAGCTGTATTTGGTCCCCTTTGGGCAAAATTCTTGAGAATCACTCGGGTCTTTGCTGAGATCTCTGTTCTTGAGACCGGAAGCCCTGCCTTGGAGCCTTGGCTCTGAGTCTTTACTGACGTTAGGCCTGGCTCTTGGCTGGTGGAAATGTCACCTCTGATGACATTTCTGGAGGCTTCTTCCTGTAGTGAAGGTGAATGTCCCTTCCCCGTCAGTTTGATGGACTTTGCTCAATCAATTCTGTAACGAGTCAGAAAGCCAGAAGAATCTTGTTGCCTTCTTTGCTTTAAAAACAAGTTGTTCAGGCTGACCCTGTTTCTTCAAAGGAAAATAACCCATTCTGGCTTTTCTGTGCTTGCTTTGAAAGGATCCAGGTCAATGACCAGATTGTAGAGGTGGACGGCATCAGCCTGGTGGGAGTCACTCAGAACTTTGCCGCCACAGTCCTCCGGAACACCAAGGGTACTGTCAGGTGAGCGCCTCCAGAAGGCTGACTGTGTTGGGGGAGGGGTGCTTCCTGCTTCCAGCTCTTGATTCTGGGATGAAGGAGAGGGCTGGTGTTGGAGCTCTGTCGGTCCTTGACTGGGGCTGAAATGCCAGACATCAGGATTCCGCCCATGATTGGGTCTGTGAACAAAGGAGTCATTTGACCAAGCCCAGAGACATCAGAATGGCCCTATCACTCTCTTGCTGCAGAAACTCTGATGGCACCCTATGACTTCCAGGATGAAATGCCAGTCCTTCTGTTTGGCCTTTAAAGCCCTTCAGCATCATCACACTCTCTGTGGTCCAGCCAAACTGGTCTTGTTGTGAAAGAACGTACTCGTCCTATTCACTTCTAGCTTAAAAGAGCCCCAACCAGGGTGCTTCCCCTTAGACAAAATCGGCCACTGACAAGAATGACATTCTTAGCTCTTAAGCAGAATGATGTACTTAACAACTAGGAAAAAGAAATAATAATAATATCCCAAGTATTCCTCTAAAAATATTCAGGGCTAGTTAATACATCAAAATTCACACATAAATTTGAGTATTACCTCTCTTAACCATGTAGTTGGTATGGTATCTGTAAGGGAGAGTGGGCACTCCCTTAGAAGAATCTGCTAAGGCAGCCCATGGGTAAGAAAAATCCATGCACTCAGGAAAACTCACAGCTCTGAGACAGTAAACTTTCCTCTCTTTTCTCTGTCTCAGGGACTGTCATAAAAGTTCCCTGCCAAATGGAGCTTTTATGTTGAGCAGATGCTTCTGCTGACAAGCTGACTTGATTTAAGCTTGTCAAGCTGCTCACTGGGCATGAAGACTAGTTGGTGCTCTGGGTAGCTTTCCTGACTCTCTGCTACTTCCAAATTTTTACTGTGCTCTGGTGGGCTTCTTCACCAACAGCATCTGTGGTATCCATCCCTTCCGGGTTCCAGCTTAGCCAATGCAGTTCTGAAACCCGTTCTTTTATCCCACTGTCCTTTCTCTTATCTTTCTAAGTGCAGATTCTGCTGCCGTTAGCCGATTGCTTCCCCTTTGCACCAGACGGTCTTGGTGATCCTGCTAGTTTGCTATGCGTTTGCCTCAGTGAAAAGTCCTGCTGGCGAGAAGAGTGGTTAGCACTCCAGTCTTGTCTGCCCTTGCAGAAGGAAGTGCTAGAGTGTTGTATCAATGCAAGAAGAGTTTCACTGGTGTCTTAGTAGAGAAAGCGTTGCTGGATTTTGCTGCATTGCTCACATATGTGATTTTCTGCCAGAGTGATTGTTTCATTGTGTAGAACTCTTGAGTGCCTAGGTGCCTGTGGCACATGGTACTTGTTGTTTTAAGGGTTAGTTGGTTTCAGGTGAGTGAAGTTAATTTCCTGGTGGTGTTTCCTGTCTGTCATTAACCGCTTTGGTCACCAGGACTTTTGGCCGGTTCCCTTAGGATCTTGGCTGACGCAGCCTGAGGACCTGCATCCTTCTTTGGATGCCGGAGCAATTAAGTGAGCAATTACAGGTCCTAGCTGTCTCTCTCTGCCCATATTGGAGTCCTGGGAATCCCTGCTTCTTGTGGGAGCTCATGGGGTGTTTCCAGAGACTGCCACAGGTGACTCACTTTCAGCTTTCCCTTCTTGGAGAGACTGGCTTCTTCTCCCCAGAGTCCATGCTGGGGCATGGGCCACAAGCTCCTTTGCACTTGTGGCAGGAGCTGAAAAGGAGCCAAGCTCAAATTGAGCCCCTGGCTTCTGCCCTCTGGGGTGGAGCCTCTGAGGGGCCCATGGGACAGCACTGGCCATGGTTGCATTTGCAACTCTGGGGGCACCTTCGTGCATGACCCCTGGCCCCCCATCCTTGTCACCCCCCATTGGTCACTGTTTGATTCACTGGCCTCACCCCATGGAAGGCATACAGTAGGAACTCAGTAATTGCTTGTTGAATGACTGACTTGTTGATTTCTCCATGAGACATTCTTTTTCATTGGTGCTGAAGACCTGTCTGTGGTTATCAGCATTGTGAGGGAAGGAGGAGAGGGCTCCCAGCTCCATCCCCTGTGGAAATTACGTCGCTGTGTGTTTTTGGTGCCTCAGTTTGACCCCCTACCCCACCTGCCTCTGAATCCTGACTGGCTTCTTGGTCCTGACTCCAGGACAGTGTGAGGTTGGGCACAATCCTAGCACATTGGGTGCGTGTCAGGAGAGTTTACTAAAATCTGCATTTTAAATGACATAGCTCACATACATATTCTGTGAGAATTTACCCTAACATCTAGGAAATCTAGTCTTCATAAAAGCCACCAACAGCCAGAGGCCTGTTGGGAAATGTCCAGCTAAGAGGGAAGTGACAATTATGGGGAAGAGCTCACCACAAAAGTGATTGGACATAGCAGCATCTAGTGCCAAGGAGGGTGGGCACCCCCCCCAGGAGAGATGCCAGTCACCTTGGCCCTAGGTTGGGCTGAGGGGGGACGAGTCCTTGGCTGCACGCAGAGGCAGACGTGAGCTGGGAAGCCCCAGACCGGAAGCTTATTTGTAAAGCAGGTTTCTCAGGCTGTGGCACCCCCTTCTCGTCACAGCCTGTGCCCTGACCATCCTCACCTAGCATCAGCCGTGGTTCTCCCAGGTCTGTGACAGACTCACCGGTGTCATCCCCTGCCTGGGAAGTTGCTACACCTCTCGGCTTTCTCGTCCCTCCCTGAACATTGCCCGGGCAGTGTGGTACCCGGGCAGTGAGAGTCCTTGGAGGCCCCTGGTCACTGTCCAGCATGGGGCCCCACACCCAGCCCGTCATTCCGACATGCCCGTCCCAGTTGTACCATCCACTCTTTCCCTGCTCTCGTCCCCTGGGATACCCACGTACCCTTGGCCTATTTGACAGAGCCCAGAGACCCTGTCTTTAAGAGTGACTGGGTGGGGACCATATTTGTGCTCCCTGTCCTTCACAGGTTTGTGATTGGGCGAGAAAAGCCAGGACAAGTGAGTGAGGTGGCGCAGCTGATCAGTCAGACCCTGGAGCAGGAGAGGCGTCAGCGGGAGCTCCTGGAGCAGCATTACGGCCAATATGACGCCGATGATGATGAGGTGAGCCCGATTCTAGACGGGGTGGGGGTCCCTGCAGGAGGCGCTCCTGGGTCAGAGGGTCCAGTTGGAAATACCCCTCCCCCCACCTCAGTTTCCTCATCTGTAAAAGGAAGGAGATTGGCCTCTGAGATCTCTTCGAACCCTGCTTCTGCAGCCTGTGATCATGGTCACAACAAGGTGAGGTCTTTCCATCACGTCCAGAGGAAGTGGATGACCGTGCTGTGTGAAAGAGATAGTAGGGAAGCAAGATGAGAGGGGAGGGGAGGAGGACCACCATGGCAGGCAGAGCACAGAGGTCAGGGGTCAGGGGTGCCTTGGCAAACAGGAGGGCAGGGTGGGAGTGAGGGCGAGGGCAGGTGTCCGAGGGGGAGCTCGCTGGGCCTGGCCTGTCACCAGTGTCTGCCTTGAAGGCATTTCAGACTAATGAAGCCCAAAGCTGAAGGAGTCAGCGCAGAAGAGAAGTGGGGCTATTTTGTAAAAGTGTGTTATTTTTGTTTTTTCAGTTAATAAGCATTTTTTAAAATCCATCTTTCCCACTACCTCCATGTAGCCAAAACCAGCCAATCCACGTTCCTCCTCAGTACGTGGACGCGTAGTCTGACAGACGCCCCTCCCCACTTTGGCCTGCTCTGCCTCTGTCTCTGCATTTTAAGTGTGTCCCTTCCCGGTGGGAGGGGGTGGCCTACTTCATCCTTGGTCCTCTGGACTCGGCCACCCTCAGAGGCTCTCCGAGTTGTTTCTCTCTCCATTGCTGTTGTCTCTGCATGTGTTGTTGTGCTGGCTTTGCCCACTTTCCTCTAGGCCTTCCGGAAGTCTTCTGAATTTGCTCAGGGTTTAGCCGTTCCCTGATGGGTGGGCATGCCCACTAGTCTCTCAGTTTGACTGCCACAAGCAGAGCTGCTAGGAGTATTTCTGTCCACATAGATCTTTTCCCTTTCTCTTGGATTCCTTCGGGGATAAGAGCCTAGGAGTGGGATCAGTGGTTCAAAGGGCACGCGTGTTTTAGCTGCTTCTGGAGCCTAGTTCCTGATGACTTTCCAGAACAGGAATTTTGCCAAGTCGCTGCTCCATCCGCAGGACGTCAGCCCCCCAGCATTTCTCATTTCCCCTCTTTTGTCTCTTTGCCGCCTCTTTGGATGGGAGATGGCACCTGCGGGTGCTTTAATTTGCATTTCTCCTATTACGATGAATGTTTTCTATATGCCTGTTGACAGCTGGGTTCTCTCCCTCAGAAAACTTCCTGTTCTCACTTTGACCGTTTGTCTCCTGGGGCATGGCTCTGTCTTAAAAATGTGAACTAGTTACTTGTATATCTCGGAAGTGAAGTCTTCGTCAGAGAAAGTTGCTTTGAAGATTTTTTCTATAGGTACCAGCTTCACTACTGACTTTTCCTATATAAGATTTGTTTGTGCTAGAACTTAAATTTCATGTCATCAAACTTGTCTGCCCTCTCCTTGGGGATCTTCTCTGTCTTTTGTGTGGCCAGAGCTCCTCCCTGCTCCACGCACCTGCCAGTGGTGCCAGCCTCTCGTGCCTCTATGTCCAGGCTCCTTCCTCTGGATGAATGAAGCAAGGCCGCCAGGCCAGCCCACAGTGTCTGGCGACTGTTGGCTTCCCGGGCCGTCCCTCCTCTCCTTGAGCCACCCCCACAAGCCCTGTGAGCTGTCCAGCAGCCTCCTGTAGCAAAGCCCATCACCGGCTACTTTGTGGGGACCCTCTATGTAATGTCCCCCATTCCTTCTCATCCCACCTCCCAGAATCGTCTCTCTGCAGCACTCAGCTCAGATCTCCCACAGCGTCCATGAAGCCTCCCTCCTCAGATTCCCCTCGTATCTCCATCCTCCCCCTATTTATCCAGTGGTCACAGAGATAAAAAGCATGCTGAGAACAGATGTGCCACTCTCCACGCTGAGGTGGGGAGGAGGTGTAGATGGGGGGGGCAGCCCAGCAGGACGGCACATGGACAGTGTACTTGACCTGGGCCAGTTGGCAGAGGAGAAGCTGTTCAGAGCCCTCTGTGGTCCAGGCTTCTTCCTGCCCCAGAGCCCATGCCACCTGCATCAACATTGCCCCAGGGACTCTGGGAGGTCATGAGTCCTGGAGCAGCCAAGTGTCTGGGGAGTCCGTTGGTATTCAAGGATTCATTGGCTGGTGAGTGGACCTGTGACCAGTGATGAGAGAATCAGGGGCTGATCTCCAGACAGGTGCCCTGCGCAAATGGGGCAGAGAGCCATGGACAAGGCAAAGGAAACTGGGGGGTGAGCGGCCTCCATTGTGGGGTGCTGTGGCACTCACGGCCACTGCTCTCCCCATTGCCCCCCTACTGTCCTCGGGTGCTCGAGTTGTGGAATCAGGCCCTCGATTCAGTTCAGCAAAATGAAGGTAGTGCAAGCTCATGGTTTCACTGATGTGATCCTTTTTGGAAATGTTTGTGTTGGTCACAAGGCTCCCAGAGTTGTCTCAGATCGTTGTATTGGTGACAAGAGTCAAGTCTCTCACAATGGATCATTGCACAGTTGTACACTGTTGTCCTGGTTCTGCTCACTTTGCTCTGCATCATTTGTGGAAGTCCAGGAGCTTCTGAGAGCATCTAGCTCATCATTTCTTCTAGGACAATGGTGTTCCATCACAATCATATATCACAAATTGTTCAGCCATTCCTCCATTCCTGGGTGTCCCCTCAATATCCAGTTATTTGCCCCCAGAAAAGAGCTGCTATAAACGGTTGGGCATAGTTCCAAATTGCTCTACATAATGGTTGAATCAGTTCACAACTCCACCAACAGTGCTTTAGTGTCTCAATTTTCCCTGGGCAAGTCACTTAACCCCAATTGCCTAAAAAAAACACCATGAAATCATAACCTTTTTAAAGTGGAAAAGACCTAAACTAAAGGAAACTGAGAAGAAAATTTCCAGTTTCAGGTAACATAACCTATTCAAGATTTAAAAGGATAAAATGGTCTCAAAAACCTCTTTTAAGTAAAAATACATTCAAAGAAGGAAAAAGTTAAATGGTTAAATTTGTTTGTGCCAAATGGTTACTTGCACTTTGTGATTAGTCATGTTTCCACTTGTCATTCTCCTTTGTTCTCCTTAATTGTTTTTTTTTTTGGCTAGGCAGTGAAGTTAAGTGACTTGCCCAGGGGCACACAGCTAGTAAATGTCAAGTGTCTGAGGCTGGATTTGAACTCAGGTTCTCCTGACTCCAGGGCTGGTGCTTTATCCATTGTGCCACTTAGCCACCCCTGTTCCCCTTAATTTTAAAAAAAAATTATTCTGAGTTCCTAATTCTCTCCCTCCCTCCATCCCTTCCCTCATTGAGAAGGCAAGAAATACAATACCCATTATACTTATAAAACCACGCAAAACATATTTCTACATTAACCATGTTGCCAAAAAGTAAGAAAAATAAAGAGTGAAAAATCATATGCTACAATCTGCACTCAGAGTCCATTCATTCTCTCTCTGATGGTGGGGAGCATTTTTCCTCATGAATCCTTTGGAATTGTCATGGACCATTGTCTTGATCAGAGTAGCTCAGTCTTTCACAGTTGTTTATCGTGCAGTATTGCTGTTACTGTATACAGTGTTTTCCTGGTTCTACTCACTTCACTTTACAACAGTTCACATAAGTCTTCCCAGGTTTTTCTGAAACCATCCCACTCATCATTTCTTATAGCACAATAGTATTCCATCACAATCATTTACCACAACTTGTTCAGTCATTCTCCAGTTGATGGGCATTCCCTCAATTTCTAATTCTTTTTCACCACAAAAGAAAAAACAAAAACAAAAACAAAAAACTACTATAAATATTTTTGTACAATTAGGTCCTTTTCCCTTTTCATTGATTCCTTTGGGTTATAGACTTAGTAGTCGTATGCGCAGTTTTATAGCCCTTTAGGCATAGTTGCAAATTGCTCTCCAGAATGGTTGAATCAGTTCGCAACTCCACCTACAGTGCATTGATGTCCCTGATTTTCCACATGCCCTCCAACATTTATCATTTTATTTTCCTGTCATTTTAGCCACTCTGATAGGTATGAGGTGGTACCTCAAGAGTTGTTTTAATTTGCATTTCTGTAATCAATAGTGATTTAGAGCATATTTTCATATGACTTGATAGCATTGATTTCTTCTTCTGATAACTATCTGTTCATATCCTTTGACCATTTATCATTTGAATGGCTCATATTTTTGTAAATTTGACTCAGTTATCTACATATTTGAGAAGTAAGGCTTTTATCAGATAAACTTGCTGTAAAAATTTTCCCAGTTTTCTGCTTTCCTTGTAATCTTGACTACATCGGTTTTGTCTGTGCAAAAGCATTTTAATTTAATGCAATCAAAATTATCCATTTTACCTGCTATGTTCCTCTCTGTCTCTTGTTTGGTTATACACTCTTCACTTCTCTGTAGATCTGACAGGTAAACTATGTTCCATACTCCCCTAATTTACTTACGGTTTCACCCTTTATGTCTGAATCATGTACCCACTTTGACTTTATCTTGGTGTATGGTATGAGATGTTGGTTTATACCTAATTTCTGCCAAACTGCTTTTCATTCCCCTCCCCTCCTCCCCCAGTTTTTGTCAAATAGTGATTTTTGTCCCAAGAGTTTGGATCTTTGGGTTTATAAAATACTGGATTACTATGGCCATTTACTATGTATCTTGCGTACCTAATCTATTCCACTGATCCATCACGCTATTTCTTTTTATTTAAATATTTTTCCTTGTATTTCTGAAATTGATTTTTAAATCTTTTATTTTTATTTCTTTACTATTTTTATTTTCCCCCATTACTTTAAACAATAATTTTTAGCATTTGTTTTTAAAAATTTTCTTAGAATCAGATTGTTTTGATGATTACCACTTTATAATGCAGTTTGAGATTTAGTATGGCTAGGCCATCTTTCTTCCCAGTTTTTTATTCTCTAATTACCTTGATATTCTTGACCTTTTGCTCTTCCAGGTGAATTTTGTTATTATTTTTTCTAGCTCTTTAAAATAATTTTTGGTAGTTTGATTGGTATGGCACTGAATAAGAAAATTAACTTAGGTAGAATTGTTTCTGCATCTGTTCAGATAATCATGATTTCTGTTCATTTTGTTATTGATGTGATCAGTTATATTGATCATTTCCTAATACAGAACCAGCCCTGCATTCCTGTTATAAATTCCAGCCTGGGCATAGTATGTGATTCTTGTGCTATATTGCTGTAATCTCCTTGCTAGTATTTTATTTAATTTTTTTGCATTAATATTCATTAGGGAAATTGATCTATACTTTTTTTTCTGTCTTGGTTCTTCCTGGTTTAGATATCAGCACCATATTTGTGTCATAAAAGGAATTGGGTGGGACTCCTTCATCTGTTTTCTCAAATAGTTTACATAATATTGGATTTAATTGTTATTCATATGTTTGGTAGAATTCATTTGTGAATTCCATCTGGCCCTGGGGATTTTTTCTTAGAGAGTTCATTGATAGTTTGTTAATTTTTTTTCTAAGATTATGTTATTTAAGTATTCTATTTCATTCTCTATTCATCTGAACAATGTATATTTTTGTAATGATTCATCCATTTGGTTTAGATTATCAACTTTATTGGCATGTGATGGAGCAAAATAGCTCCTAATAATTGTTTTAATTTCCTCTTCATTGGTAGTGAATTCTTCCCTTTTATTTTTGATACTGGTAATTTGGTTTTCTTCTTTTCTTTTTTAAAATCAGATGAACTAATAGTTTATCTGTTTTGTAATTGGGTTTTTCCCCCCATAAAATCAGCTTCTAGTTTTCTTTATTAGTTTATTAGTTATTATATTTTATATTATTATATTTATTATGTTACCTGTCATTTATTTTATTGTTATTTTTATTATTAGTTTATTGTTTATTTATTAGTTCAGTGGTTCAATTTTATTAATCTGTCCTTTGATTTTCAGAATTTTCAATTTGGTGTTTAATTGGGGATTTTTAATTTGTTGTTTTATTAGTTTTTTTAGTTGCATGCCCAATTCATTGATCTACTCTTTCTGTATTGATGTAAGAATTTAGAGAAATGAATTTTCCCCTTAGAACTGCTTTGGCTGCATCCCATAAACTTTGGTATGTTTTCTCATTGTTGTCATCCCCTTTAATGAAATTCTTGATTGTTTTTTTTGATTTGCACTTTGATCCACTCATTCTTAAAGATTAGATTTTTTTTTTCGTTTCCAATTAATTTTTAGTCTCTGTTTCCATGACCCTTTATTTAATATAATTTTTATTGTATCATGATCTGAAAAGGGTACATTTAATATTTCTGCTTTTCTGCATGTGTGTCACTATAAACGTGTACTTGTGTTTGTAGCATTGAATGTGTGAATGTATTTGTGTACATGTGTATGAATACAAGTATGTGTGATGTGTGTATGTATGTATAGGTGTGCTTGTATATGTATGTGTGTGCTTACATGTATATGTGTGTATTTGTGTGTACAAGGATGTCTTTTTGTGTACACATGTGTTTGAGGGAATGTATGTGAATACAGATGTGTATGTGTGTACGCTTGCGTGTCTTTATGAATGTGTATTTGTGTGCCCATGTGTGAATGCATGCGTGTGTGAGTACCAGTATGTAAATGTGTATGTGTGAGAGAGTATATATGTGTGTGTACGTGTGTATCATGTTTGTAGTTGTACCAGTGTGTGTGCGTGTGTGTGCGCGCGCATGTGTGTGAGTGACGTGGTCCGGCTGCAGCCGGGACTGATGTGGCCTTTCTGCACACAGGGCTGTGCGAGGTCTGACTCTGGCAGAGAGCATGTTGGGGGGGGGGGGGGGGGGGGAGGCGGGCAGGCAGCCACAGCTCTGTTGTCGTCCTGAGAAGCCCCCGTTCCCGAGGCCCTCCCTGGGCCTCCCTGTGCTCGCATCTGAGTGAATGGGGTTGGCCCACCGGCGGGATTTCCTCGAATGCCGACTTGCTCCCGTGGCAGGGGGGCCTCGGTGACTCTTCTCTCCCCACCTGGGATGTCCTTTAGGGGACGTCCTTTGGGCCCTTCCCTCTCCGCGGGGATGTTTGCACGTGCGACCCTCCTCCTGTTGCGGCAGCCCCTGGAGAGTGACCCCGGCCGCTGCCTGCCGTACCCAAAGGGCTGCCTCCTTTGCTGTTAGGTGACCCGCCGCTCACACATCACCAGCTGGCCAGGGAGTTCTCACCTTGTCTTCCCTTCAGACAGGGGAGTATGCCACTGATGAGGAGGATGACGAAGGAGGGCCCTCCCTTCCCAGCAGGGACCTGGCCATTGAAGTGTTTGAGCTGCCAGAGAATGAGGACGTGTTCTCCCCATCAGAGCTGGATACTGGAAAACTCAGTCACAAATTCAAAGAAGTAAGTTGTTCCAGGCCTGGCCCCTGTTCTGCAGGCTACAGTTAGCTGTCCTGTAGGGTGGCTTTGCCACGCCCTGCCTCACGCAGGGCTCGGGGCCAGGCCCACTGAAGGCCCTCCCTTTGCCTGGCTGCTCTGGCCAGTCACTGGGCTGTTTTCACCTTCCCTGGGCCTTGGCAGAGGGGGACGATTTGCCAGGGGGCAGGAGGTCCTGGTCCTTGTGAGGCTGGGGTGGCATTTCTCCAGAGAGCCCTTTCAGCAGTGGTGGCAGAACAGAGGCAGGCAGAGTCCGGAGGGTGGGCTGGCACTGCCACAAAGGTCAGAGTGAGCTGGCTGTGTTCAGGGGACATTCTGCCCTCACTGTCCCTGGGGGAGGACAGGTGTTAAAGCGTGTCATTCCCTGTCTCCTAAAGCCCTGAGGGTGGTCTGATGACCTTGGACTTCCCACTGGTCTGAGAGAAGCCCTGCTTGGGAGATTGGGAGGCAAGGTGGTCCAGTAGAAGGTTGTGAATCTGAGCCCTGGGTTCGAATCCTGTGAGACTGACACACCTCCCTGGGTGTCAGAGGGTTTTCTTGGTATCTCCATGCTTAGTACCAGACTGCTGGGCCCAGGGAAGGTTGACTGACTGAGTGGTCATTTGCTGTGGAGGCGCACCAGCCGAGTGGCCCCCGGCTCCCCAGGAGCCTTACTTCAGAAACCCTGCAGGCGGCAGAGTGGTGGGAGGGGCGCCTTTCCTGGCCAGTGTCAGCCTTTTTACCTCAGATAAAGTGAAAGCTGAACCCGCGGGTGACTCAGGCCTCCCTGGGTCAGGGAACACAACCACGGGGCCTTCTGCTCAATTCCCTTATTCACCTGGTCCCCGGCACCTGTGTCCTAGGCTGGCAGCGCCCCTTCCCCTTGGTCATCCTGTTCTGTCCAGGGACGGCCTGAGGCCAGCTCGGCCAGCCCTGGTCTCTCCCAGCCCTCCCCCAGGGAGGCCTTGGGAGGCTTGGGAAGGTGTGGGGCTGCCTGCTGCCCACCCAGGAGAATCCACCTTGTCTTTCTTTGGTTTTCAGCTGCAGATCAAGCACGCGGTCACGGAAGCTGAGATCCAGAAGCTAAAGAACAAGGTAAGGAGGGCGAGGTGACAGGGCTCCTCACTGGCGGTATCCAAGGAGACCTTGCTGGTGATGGTGAGGCGGGCACATCACTGGTGGTGTCACAATGGGTCACCTACTTGTTGGGGGTGTTGGGGTAGGGCACCTCACTACTGCTGTCACTGTGGTATCAAAGGGTACCTCATTGGTGGCGTCATGGTGGGATACATCAGTGGTTGTGTCCTGGCGGGGCTCCTTACTGGTGGTGACATGGTGGGGCACATTGGTGGGGGTGTTGGAGTAAGACACCTTGCTATTGGTGTCATGGTGGTTTTGTGGCAGGGCACCCCGCTGGCGGTGTCAGTGATGTGGAAGGGCACCCCGCTGGCGGTGTCAGTGGTATGGCAGGGCACCCCGCTGGCGGTGTCAGTGATGTGGAAGGGCACCCCGCTGGCGGTGTCAGTGATATGGAAGGGCACCCCGCTGGCGGTGTCAGTGGTATGGCAGGGCACCCCGCTGGCGGTGTCAGTGGTATGGAAGGGCACCCCGCTGGCGGTGTCAGTGGTATGGCAGGGCACCCCGCTGGCGGTGTCAGTGGTATGGCAGGGCACCCCGCTGGCGGTGTCAGTGATATGGAAGGGCACCCCGCTGGCGGTGTCAGTGGTGTGGAAGGGCACCCCGCTGGCGGTGTCAGTGATGTGGAAGGGCACCCCGCTGGCGGTGTCATGGCAGTACCATGATGCACCCTGGCAGCAGTGACATGGCAGGGTGGCATCGAGCCTTGGGTGTCCTGAGGAGGAGGGAGGCAGTGGCCAAGGGTGTGCAGAGGGTACTTGCTGGCATGCCTAAAGCAACATCTTCCTTGTAATTACCCAAAGTCTATCCATTCCCAGGGTGCATCAGTGGCACCAGTAGGAGCCCTGTGGGCTTTTTTGGTTTAACCCATCCTTAGTAGGAAAAGGGTTTCCATGGGAGTAATTGAATCTTTAAAACAAGATAGTTCAAAACACATTTGCTTTTGTATGGCGGGAATGCTCTAAAATTGTGTAAAGTTCAGGGGGGTTGGCAGTTTTGATTTTATGAAAAAACCAGGGGCAGCTAGGTGGCGCAGTGGATAGAGCACCGGCCCTGAAGTCAGGAGGACCTGAGTTCAAATTCGGCCTCACACCAAACACTTGACACTTACTAGCTGTGTGACCCTGGGCAAGTCACTTAGCCCCAATTGCCTTAAAAAAAAAAGAAAAAAAGAAAAAACCAGTTCAGTGTTTCTGGTGCAGGTTGAAGAAGGAAGGAAGAAGCAGCTCTCGCGGGGCTGCTGGGGACCTGCCCAGTTTTCACAATGTGTGCCTGTGGAAGAAATAATTTATTTTTTCAAGTTTGCAAATATCTTTGCAGTCTCACTTACGATTTTTTTAATATGGTCTTAAGACTAAGGATGAGTTTCTTTCTAGCTCTCCGATTTTGTTCTTTCTTAACTTCAGGAGACATGATTTCGGTTTCTCTCTCCTCTCATTGGAGCGGAGTTCGCGTGGCTCTCGTGGCTACGTGGGGTGTCCAGCCCACATCCCAGGTAGCTCTTGAGCTTAGATGCATCTCTGCATTGTCTGTGGTGCCAGCTGAGCCCTAGGAGTAACATGTGATAGAGAACAGTGCTTAGTTAGCCAACAGCTGGCGCACAAAGCACCGCTCAGGGACCGAGCCCAGAAAACCAAGCGGTGGTGGGAGCTGCCCCTCTTCTGGCCCTAGCTAGGAAAGGGAGCTTTTAAAAAAGATTAGTTTTTCAAAATGGGAAACCTGGCCCTGGGATCATGAGCTGTGTCTCCAAGGGAGCTCACGCACCGTCCCGGAAACCTGAAATTCATAAAGGTTGGAGAACGCGGGGCCCCCAGGCTTCTGTGCCCCCCTTCCCGCAGCACTGACACAGATGGGCAGTCCTCAGCATGCCCAGCTTGACCCCCTCCCATTGCAAGGGAAAGAACAGACAGGGAGCCAGCCTCCGGTCATGTCTGCCCACATGCTCTGTGACTAGCCATTCCAGCGCATAGGACACAGTGCATTCTGGGTTAACATCAATGAGTGTTATTTCTCAAGATTGCTCCTCTGTAACCCCCCGGCTCCTTGTAATGCCCCCGAGAAGCCATATGGCTTTGGGCTGGTAACTGACTTCCCATCTGCTGGTGGCGGGTTTGGGCGCCAGGACCTCTCCGGACTCTCAGTGTCACCAGAATCATTTATGTTGCACTGTGGAGGGCGCTGGCTGATTTATTGTAGCATGGGTATTCCTAAGGGCGTGGCACATCCCGCTGCTCCAAGCCCCGGATCAGCCAGCTTCAGGGGCACACCTGCAGGGGCTGTGAATCCTGGGGCCATGCTCGGCTTCTCCGTGATGGAGCCTTGAATGAGGCATTTTCTCTGCCCAGCTCCAGGCTGTGGAAAATGAGAAGGTGCAGTGGGAACTGGAAAAAACCCGGCTGCAACAGAACATCGAAGAGAATAAAGAAAGGATGCTGAAACTGGAGAGTTACTGGATCGAGGCGCAGAGTCTGTGCCACACGGTGAACGAGCACCTCAAGGAGACGCAGAGCCAGTACCAGGCCCTGGAGAAAAAATACAACAAGGCCAAGAAGCTCATCAAGGACTTCCAGCAAAAGTAAGACTGAGGGGCGGTGGGGGGAGACTGAGGAGGGGGGACTGAGGGCGGGGGAAGGGGGGAGACTGAGGGTGGGGGGGAGGGGGAGGACTGAGGGGGGGGGGGGGGGGAGGGAGACCTCAGGGATCAGGGGGTTGTAATCCATTGCAGGAATGCACTGTGTTCTAT